AAAAAAGTATTTGCCTTCTGGTTTCCACTGTGACACAGAAGAGTCGATAGCTTATTGCTGAAGGATTTGAACATAGATAGTGTTCCCTTATACTACAGGAAAGGCCTCCTAGTAGCAAGAGTTGTGGCAAAATACCTGGCATTTGTTGAGGAAGGACTACTGAAAATTCTGTGGACAGTATTGAACACTAGAAAGCTGGTGGAAACAGGGGCATGAATCCTGCCTGCGTGGTAATGGCCATCATGAAATGGGAGACTGTTAAGACTCCATGTTTACCTAAAGAGAAAACCCGTGTGCTGCTTTTTAAATGAGCTGTGAGGACACCTTGAAATCTTCACTAAAACCTCTTCCAAATGAATGGAAGCTTCATCCCCAGTGGGGGGGATTTTTGGTGATGGGTTGGGTTTTTTTCCTCCTCTCCTATTCCTTTGTGAGTCATGCGAATACACATGCATTAACCTTTATGGTTAAGGACACTAACTCTTTGCTTTTTAGTTTTTTTCTTGTTTGAGATCTGTCCTTTGTGAGTCATGCTAATACACATGCATTAACCCTTATGGTTAAGGACACTAACTCTGCTTTTTAGTTTTTTTCTTGTTTGAGATCTGTCACGAACTGTGAGGAACAGCAGAGAAGTGTGCTGATTACTTAGGATGTAGAGATTTCAGTGAGAGTAGGCAAGCACAAATCATCATGAGAAAGGGAAGCATCCCTGTTTGATGCTCAGCAGAGATCAGATGCTGTGTCCAGATTAAGGAGCAGACACTTCAAGATCCTGCTTCTCCAGTCATCCAGGTCAGGTACCTAAACCAGAGTGTGCTCTGTCTACCTGCTGGCGCATGTATTCCTTTTCTGTCTGTGGAAATGAAGCAAGGATGGAAAATGGATTGCTAGCCCATGCCCAACTCTTACTTCGGTGTAGGATCAAATTGTGGCTGGAGCAAACACACCTTGAGACTTGGCTTAATTGTTACAGGTTTTGCTCCACGAGTTTCAAGTAAGGCCCTTTAGGCAACCTTGTAGACAGCACAGGAAGGAAAAAAGAAATTAACACCTGTGAAAAAGTTTTTGTGAATATTTTGTCTTTTTTATCTATTCTTGCTTTTATCGCCTAGATGTCTGAGGAGGAAGAGAGAATTCACTGTTAACTGTCATTATGATCAGGGGTGTTGTGGAAATTGGGGAACAATTTGTGACCTCTTTGATTGTTTGTAGTGCTTCCTTTTAACATGAGAATGCTTAAATCATCTGCTTTCTCCTGAAAGGCACCATTGAGGTTTTTCTTCTATCAGCTAAGTCATTACAAGGCTAGTGGAGAGGTGTATAGGTTATTTCCTTTCAGCGAAGGGTAGCCTAGCAGATCTAGTGACTGTTACACATCCACTCTGCTTGAAGACTGGGAAGAAAAATAAAAGTGTGGCTTTGGTTTGGTTCATTCTCTGAGTTTACTCCAAAGCTTGGTTTATTGGAGACATGCTCCCAGCAGCTCTGAGTCTGACTAGACACAGTGACGCAGAGGTGGACATTGTTGCTTCCAGACGGCGATTTTTGCTAAACAAATATTTCTTCCTTAAAAGGAAGAAAAAGCATAACCTAAACATGAAGCATTTTCTTAGTAATTTTGCATTATGCTTTTGTCACTAGTGCAGGAAGTGCCCGAGGGGTAAATGAAACTTCTCCTGGACTTTCCTGTTTGCATTTCCTGTGGTCAACTTAAAATACAGTGCTAAATGATGTTTAGAAAGTTATTAAAGAGGCAAGGTTAGCAAGAAATTACTTTGAACTTTACATAGATAGTTGAGAATCAGCCTCTATATTTCCGTGTTATTGCTACCGCAGTGAAGCTTCTGGCTTCTTTTGGGGAACGGTGGATTTCAGTGTAAAGAGGTGAACTGATTACCATTATTAGTGGGCAGAGCCTAAAAACCTTAATCCAAATCTGTAGTTAGATACACGGGAACTGTACTCTGTAAACTTGATTAAATAGGCAGGGCCCCTCTGCCTCCTCTGCCAACGTTGTGCCAGAGTTAGTGTCACAACTGCCAGGCAATGACTTTGGGAGCTGGTGGGGCTGTTGGGACCACACATGAGGCAGAAAAGCAGTGATGTGGTAGAACTCATGTCATACTTGTCACTCATGTCACCACTTGTATATCCTTCCAGTTCTTTCCTTGGAATTTCTGCAGATGGTCTGAGGCTGCTTATCATAGTTCTGTGCAGAGTTTGTGTGATGGGCAGCACAGAGTGGAGAATCATATAGGTTCCTTGGGTAAAAGTAAGGGCAGTAGGGGCAGATGGTTCTATTCTGGTCTTGATTTCATGTGCTGTGGAGTCACCCGGGAGGAAAAACCGGGCCAGTCTCGGTCTCTAGCACCGCGCAGCGGTGTGCAGGACTCAGCCTGTCGGAACCACCTAAGGGTTCTTCCTCCTACTCATTCACTGTGAGCCTAATGCTTTGGGCTATTTGTTGCTGCAAAATAGAAGTGCTAAGAGACAGCTTTTTCTAGCATCTATTCCATGTCTGAGGAGGCTGATTGACAAGATGCTTGGTATTTTCTGTGTCACAATGTGTGCACCAGCTTATGTTGTTTGTTTGCAGTTCAGCTAGCATCTATTCCATGTCTGGGGAGGCTGATTGACAAGATGCTTGGTGTTTTCTGTGTCACAATTTGTACACCAGCTTATGTTGTTTGTTTGCAGTTCAGTTTGCCTTCAGCTGCAAACATGCCTATGAGGGTATGAAGTTACATTTCAAAGGCATTGCTAATCTCTCATATATAGCTGTAATTGTAGCAGCTTCTTTTTAAAACAGGCATTCTCTGCCGATTCATGCCAAAAAGTGTAACCAGACCTGGCGAACTGATATAGTTAAACACCAGGGTTTTATCAAGGGCTTTATCCCAGTTTACTGCCATCACACTGTGGTTACTAAAGATCAGTAAAAGCATGATAAGTGTGTATAGTGTTATAGTAATGAACCTGGATCTCACAAACATCGGAATTTGGAGCACCACATTCTTCTTCTGTGGTTCAGCTTTTTATAATATGAAAAATTAATTCATGAGTGGTTTTGCTCTAATTTCACCATAACAGGGACCAATGTCCCATTGATGGTTTCTGCCAGATGGATAAAGCTTCCCCTTCCTCCCAATAAGAAATAATCCACATATGAAAACTACTGGAGAGTCTGTTCTATCGTCATAGCCATGTCTGTCTGACCTCTTCTGGGAATGCATGAATAATGAAATTAATGTCATAGAGGTCTGTCTGACCTCTTCTGGGAATGCATGAATAATGAAATTAACTTCTTGGCACAACACGGCATAGCCTTGACTGAGGAACAGCCTTTTGTTTCCAGATTCCACCTACATCCTATCATGAACCACTGGCTGTAACGAACAGGCATTAAGAGTAGGAGTATAAAGGAGTATAAAGCTCTATGAAAGATGTTTACTTTTAGCTATGAAGAATGGGCATTAAGAGTAGGAGTATAAAGCTCTAAGAAAGATGTTTACTTTTAGCTTGCTTAGAGTGTAACGAACAGGCATTAAGAGTAGGAGTATAAAGGAGTATAAAGCTCTATGAAAGATGTTTACTTTTAGCTTGCTTAGAGTGTGCATTGCAGAAAATGACTGTAGCATGTGTCTATGAATTTGGATGATATTCATTCTATAGCAGTACTTAGCATCCAAAAAGCAGTTTAACACTGATATGTCTTTATTAGTACTCAGCTAAGCTTCTGAGGAAAAAAAGAACAAAAAAAAACAAAACCAAAGCTCATGAGATGCCTGGAAGAGGAAAAAAAAGAACAAAAAAAATCAAAACCAAAGCTCATGAGATGCCTGGAAGACCTTTACAGATATAGGTAATGTTTTAAAAGTATTTTGCTGTATTTGTTCCTAGGTGTTACCAAATGGTAGATAAAGTTCATCTTTGTAATCAATAATTCTGAGTGTTTATACGTACAAACATAACAGTGTGGAGATTTTGTCATAACATCAGGAAACTGTAATTTGCATTCAATTGCATGGTAATACGCTGTTTGACACATGTTCATAATGTATACATAAAAGTAAATATGGCCAGTGAAACAGTATGTGTGTTTTTCCTCAGTACCCTAAGCCTCACCTCTCTCTCCTTCTTACAGCACCTCTTTAATCAGGTGACAACAGAGCTTGTGTCACAAAGCTGTCACTCTTAGAAATAGTTTTGGTCCTGTAGCAATCATGCTGGAGGACTGTAAGGTCCACATTGATGGTCTATCTTCTAGTAACTTCCTAGTTCTCTAACTTACCCCCTTAGAGGAACAATTTTATGACTTTTAAATAATTGCTTATGAATCATCTGGAGGGCTGTAAAGGAAGGTGTGTGGCACTTGCTTTCATGCCAACACTTTTCTCTGACTGCAATGGCTCTGTATGGACATCTGCAGGAGCGCTGGGAACTTCACAGAGAGTAGAAGTAGCACAGAACATGGAATTTCTTTGCTTTCTTTTCCTTGTTAAAATTTTTTGGCTTTGTGTTATCTTGTCACATCATTATTTCTTTCCTTGAATCGTTGGCCTGTTATTTGTGTCTGGATGATTACTTCTGTCCATGATTTTACTTTTTCTTATCTTGCATAGTTTTAAGCTTTTACACTTTCTCACACCTTAACAGCAGTCTTCTCAGCACAACAGAGCCAAGGCTACACACCTATGTTGTGTTAAATTTAGCTTTGGATCATAGCCTGAAATGTTACAGAGGGCTACAAGTGTCTCCACTACACTCTTTGTTTTAATGTGGTCTGCACTGTGATGTGAGCATGAGAGGTGTGAACTTCAGAGATGGGCTTTCTTCAGGCTCTTCACAAAATATATTTGATGTTTGTTCTGTCCTGCTGCTGCATTCTCTCAAATTTCCCTTCTGAGAAGGTTCAAAAAATGAGGGGCAGTGTCCTAATAGAGCACAGCCCATTCCTGTCACTGAGGCTCTTCTTGTTAACTTTTGCCCCCTTGTTTGCATGAGAGCACAAGTCATTACCGTTTACTTGGTGTCATCAAGCTGTAATGATTCAGCTCTGAGAAGCTGCATTTACAGTCAGCCAAATGAAACACACAAGTACACGTAAGTATGTAAAGCCAAGGTCTTGACCTTCTGATTTTTAGAATGAAACATGGTGGTATGTTCTAAAAACCACTGTGGATATTCCTATTTAAATTCTGTGTTAGCCAAGAGACTGAGATATGTGTAATTCTTGAGTAACATGCCAGATGTCCAATGTTCCAAGAAACCTTGCTGACAATTTTTTTATTGTGCTGTGGTATTTTCTGAATAATTTTGAAGAAAAATGAAATATCTTTCATGTTGCACATGATCTTAGGTGACACTGCAAAATGGAAATTCTAAATCTGCTTGCATTATTTCTGTGACAGGAGGTCAGTCTTTTTTTGCATAATATGAAATCATAAATGCATGTCAGTTTCCTGTTTTGTCAAACGGAGTGATTCGGTGGAATTAGAATGGAATACAGTAATATTGTGTTAAAGCACTCTGTATCATATTACCCATGGTGGTGTTTCAGTCTCCATGGTTGCTTAAAATTCTGTTTGAATAGAATAGTATGGATTATAAGATAGTTTGTATAGGAAAATGTTTTCTTTTCTGCTGTAATAGTATTGACTTGGGAATTAAAATCCTGCTAACTTGTCAAAATATACCTACAATCATATGGGAACTTGAAGATTATTTGAAGACTTTTGACCGTTTTGAAGTGAACAGCCAGGTCTGGCTGACCAGGTCTGATCTGTAAAAACCTGAGCTTTGCCTTATAACCTAGAGGAGTCTGCTGGCAGAGGTTGCTGTGAATGACAAAGCTCATAGCCAGTGATGAGGAGAGTACTTCTGGCCAGAAGAGCTGGCCCAGGAATGTTCCCATCAGCTTGTGAGGAATACTTTTGAGTCACGTCCAGGGATTTTTCAGTGCGTCAGAATTATGTGGCTGGTTGGCTGTTTTATAGACTGGGCAGTCCTCAAGGAATCTGTGCTTTTCCAGTCAGATGCGTAATCCTGCTGCAGCCTTAGGTCAATGGTAGATTTTTCAGCCTCTTTAATGAGACTGGGAGTTGGATATGTGCTCACTGCCTCAGCAGAGTACACAGGCTGGTGTCCAGTTTGAATGGGGCTCCCGTGCTTTTAACTGGCTACAGAACAAATACTGCTTACTTTATGTGTGAGCAGCTCAGAAGGTGGAAGGTTTCATTAATACAGGTCTGCTCAGTCAGCTGTGGTGGGTTTTTTTGTTTGTTCTTCTCCCTTCACCCCCAGATTTGGGATTTCTCTGTGTATGCTGGAAAAGGTCTCACTGCGTTTTCGAGGTTATGGTCTTTGAGGATGATGACTCTCCCCCCACCCCCAGATTTGGGATTTCTCTGTATGCTGGAAAAGGTCTCACTGCTTTTTCGAGGTTATGGTCTTTGAGGATGATGAAATTTCCCGGACTCTGCAGGTACACTGGTTTCTTCAGGTCCTACAGTTGTTGATTAATCTGTGAACTGTGGACTGAGCTCAGGAAGAGGCAGAGCAGGAAGGATTTGCCTGTCCAAATACAGATTTCTGCTTTGGAGCTGGTTGTCTGGTTTACTGGGTAGTCAGTGGAGAAGCAGGTGCTACAGGGCTATGACTCATTCCATCCAAGGCCGTGTCCCAGTAACTGTCTGGCAGCTCAGACCATCAGAAACAGCACAGTCAAAGTTTCATCTTCATTCATGCCAGAACTAAACATTCCACATTTTCTTCAGGAGCTCAGAGCATGTTTGCTATTAGCTGAAAATTACATTATGTTTACTTGACCCATGCATATTCCTCTTGAAAATAGTAGCTTGATTACTATTGTGATAGGTTTTCATTGGCTAAACTCGTTGGTTTTTTTTTTCCCTTGTGTTAATTGAACAGAGGAAGAAAATACATACAGGTTAAGAAAGTTTTTGGCTATTTTTAATGGATTATGTGGCCAAGTGGCTCTCCAAGTGAATTCATACTTCATCAGCTGAGAGTAAAACTGCAGGCTGTCCATTCATAACAAGCCAAGAATAACACACAGTCGTCTTCCTATTAGACATTTGTTCTTATTTTACCTTGATGCTGACAAATGCAGCTTCTGAAGGACTCTTAATTTGCGTAGGGTCTTCATCATATCAAAGGGAGAGAAGTTTTGTCGTGCAGGAAGCTCTGCACACTTATGGCTCTATCTTTACTATAGCTCTCATGTTCAAGCGTGCCAGTCTTCAAGGGTAGTCTAAGAGATTAATCTTTCCCCATTAATCAATCTTGGTGAACAAATCCTGTCAGTGTTCCTCAGTCAGGGTCTTGATAGAATACTCTGACTTCTAATGTTTCTTCTAGGATATAAAACCAGACTGGAAGAATTGCTGGAGTGTTAATTTACTACCTGGTGTCTGTCTCCTGGAGGAAGAGGAACAAAAACTGGAAAGCAGTAGTCTCCCAGTGGAATCTTGGCTGGAGGTGAATAGATGAATGACAACATCTCTGTTCTGCAGTGGAGCCTCTCTGACCTTTTGCTTCCTGTTGAGTTGTGAAACAACAAAGTAAACATTTAACTTAATGTGGCAGCTGGGGACAATTGGCGCTATTGTAGAAAGAATGCCAGTCCCTTCTTGCTCTGCATAAATTCTCCTAGCTGGCAATGCTAATAGAGCTGCAGTGGAAGCCAGCCAGGCCTTTCCTTGGGCAAGGCCCAAGTTTAAGCAGAAATACAAGCAGTGTGTGGCTTGGTCCCTGGAAGTGTCCTGGATGCAGCAGCCCTGCTGAGGGTTGTCCATAATCAGAGCCCTTTCAAAAGTATTTTGTTTGTATCATAGAAAATTGATTTGCAACACTGAAGTCTTCAATGCTCTGCTGTGGGGGTTGGTGGGAGTGTTTGGATATGGCATCATTTTTTTTAATGATATGACCATTCCAGAGCAGAATTGCTGAGTTGTGTTCCTTGTACAAAGAGGAGTCATTCTTCAGACTCGTTTCCTTGATCCCATAACGCTGCCATGACTCTGCATTCCTAACTGAGGTAGACTTCAGCATGAATAAAACGGCAAGTTCTAAAATGCTATAAATTTACCTGAACTTACTGTTCATCCAGCTCAGATGTAAGTAGTCTATTCCTTTGTTCCAGGCTCACCAGTTCATACCAGCCTTATTTATGATGGTCTGTGGTGATGCTGGAGCCTGCACAACCTCCTGCTGAAGAAGACCTGGCTAATGCTGATGCTCTACTACTGACCTCGTATATTTCCAGATGCAGTCCATGAGAACATTTTGCCCTGCCTTTAAAATACCATATACTGTACATGTAAGTAAACATTACAAATAGAAAGAGACAGTCTGGAAATACATTCATTTTAATGGTAGTTCTGCCCATCTGGTAAATTTGCAGTCCTACTTTACTTATTGTGGGCTTTTTTATTTTAGAGCAGATTGATAAATTGCTTTAAAAGAGATTACATGTCAGTAAGCATGGTGCATGTTTAATGGACATTTAATGCACTTAAATACATAAGGAGTTTTACTTTTTCCTCTTGGCTATGCTAGAATGCAGATGCCAGTGTCTTCTGACTTCCTGTAATTAATTTGGTAGTCAGACTGAATCAAATATACATTTGGAAATACTGTTGCTTTCAAAGAATATTGGTCTTGTGCAAAAAAAAAAGGAGTGTATCAGCTACATGAAGATCTGCCTTGTATCCGTCCCTCGGTCCCGAGAGTGCCTTTTCCTCTCTACAGCACCTATATTCTCAGCCTATTCAGTCAGAGAGTTGTCTTGTGGAGTATTTTAGTTTGCTTTTATTATTGTTTTCATACTAAGTGGAAAAGAAGAGATTTTCAGTGGTATTCGTATAGCTGAGGGGCACTTTAGTATTATCTGCAGGTTTTCTGTTTGCTTTAGTTCTCTATTCATTTTGTGCACGTATCTAATTAGTATACTGGTAGTCTCTCGGTGAATCTTTCTGCTGATGTATCTTTGCAATAGCACTTCTTAGTGAAATGGGTCTGTATAGACAATCCTTATCTTAAGAAGGTAAGGGAGTTAGGGACCAATGATGTCTGCATACCGTGCCATCTCTCCCATTGAGCTCTAGCTACAGACACCCCTCACTTTGGGTCATCCTTGAAATTCATTGCTTCTGTCACGTGTGCAGAATTAGAAAGTTTCAGAGACAATGTCAAAAAATCAAGAAAGTACACAGCTGACCCCTGAGCCCTGCCATGTCATGAATGGAAAAGTCTTGGTGAACTGTTTCAGACTCCCTTCCTGGGTCCACTTTCTTTTTCTCTGGGACTGCTTCCTAGATGGCTTTCACAAGTGTGTGTTTCCCAGAGGGGACTTTTAAATCTCATGTACTTTGACCTGCCATGTCCCTAGCCTGGCAAGGCAAGCTTGCCACTTCTCTGTGAGAAAAATTAAGGCCTTTAAAACTGACACTTCTCCAGTTTTTCAAACATATTACTCCTCTGTTTATTCTTCCAGCACCACCCAATGTAAATGAGTTCCCGTTAGTCACACAAGAATTTTTTTATGAGCCAGCACGCAAGGATTTATTCTTAGTCTAGTGGTCATTAAATTGTTGGACCTTCGTGTTCATAACATCATTGTACCTCAGTTCTTTGTAGATGGGCACCTCTAGGCTGCCTAGGAGATGTCCTACAGATCTCTTCAAATTCTGGTGACTTAGACCTGCCGAACTTTTTGTGTCTTCTGTTTTGTGAGGCTCCATTTGAATGGGGATGAATTTCAAGAGCTGTAGTTCAGACAGCAGTCTTAAATTACTACACCCTCATTGAAATTCTTTTTCTTCAAGGTTTGTTGCTTTCTCACACTTGCCACTTGAGCTCTTCTAATTTTATTACTGCCTGCTAGTGAATCTTTTAGTTGGACTTGTTGGATTGTATCTTGATGGGCTTTTTGATAGGCACATTTAAAGTGGACTGTGCAAAAATTTCATATGGTATACAAATCATAATATCTGTTACTTCTGCTCTGTGTCTTAGAATGGACCACTGTGTTGTTTAGAGAGAAAAAGGGTCTAAATTGCTGAATGTTTGAGCTATCTGACTCCCAGCAGTGAACGTTACAGCCTATGGCTGGCTGTGCTGGAAGTGCAGATAGGACAAAGCCACTCCTGCATGTTGTTTGCTTGTTTTTATAGCAAGCAAAATTCCTGAAGTAGAATTTTGATCGGCGCTGGGCATGGAAATCCTATCTTGCTTTTGCTTGTGTGGATGAAGGATTATTGGGAGCAGTTGGTATTGGCAATGAATGCCAGATGCTGTGATTGATGCTTCTTCCGTTCTAGTCACTTAAAACTTTGTAAAGTTTATGCAAATGAGCTGCTGTGTCCTCTTGTTTTTACCACACTTTGAATAATGGAGAAGCTAGCTATCTAGCAGAGGCAATGAAACCAGACAGAACAGTATCTTGGTCTTTTATGTATTGTCATGTGACAAATTTAACTGTGCATATTTGCTTCGCTTTCTGCCTCTGTTTTATTTTGTCATTGTAGTTGCACTGATTTTTTTTTCCAGAGTTTTCCAAGGCTTGTTCCTAATACTGTATCTTAAAGGCTTCCCTGCCTGCATTGCTCTATTTTTGGGTAACTATCTCTAAACAGAAAGTGTTTTAAAAAGTCAGGGGGGGGAAAAAAAAAGAGAAAAAAGGAGTGAATTGACTTTAGGGGCTAGAATGTAAATTTTTGGGAAACTATCTCTAAACAGAAAGTGTTTTTAAAAGTCAGGGGAAAAAAAAAAAGAAAAAGAAAGAGGAAAAAAAAGAGTGAATTGACTTTAGGGGCTAGAATGTAAGAGAAGAGTCATCTCACATGGAGATATCGAAAAAGTTTTGTCCTTTTGTGCCTTTGGGGAGATAGGTTAAAAGAGTGAATTGACTTTAGGGGCTAGAATGTAAGAGAAGAGTCATCTCACATGGAGATATCGAAAAAGTTTTGTCCTTTTGTGCCTTTGGGGAGATAGGCTCTTTGCTGTTCATGCTAGGTGTTACCTAAATGCTGTGTGGGATATTCCATCTGCGTGTGGCCCCTCTGTGCAGCACTGCAAGTCATATCTCATGTTCTTTCCTTACTTTTTCCAGAGATGTCCTCTCTCTGCTTTAGTCTTTGATCTCCAAAATATTATTTTAACTTCTCAAAATGTAATGGAAGACTGTGAAGATAGATGGCTTAAGAACTATTGTTCAGCTCCTTTCCTCTTGGGAAGGTCTGTTGGTGCCCTGTTGGCAAGCAAAACACAGCTCTTTTTTTCCAGAAGCAAAATTTATGATTTTTCCTGTCTGTTTAAATTCACCCAGTTCTTCTGGAGTTCATCCAGCCCTAAGTTTTCAGACTTGAAACAAAACACTGGCATTTGTTTGTTTAGGCCTATCTCAAGAAAGAAGGTTTTAAAGCTGGTATTTCTTAAATACTTTTTTTCTCCTCTAAATAAAGAGCTCTGTAGGACTGTGACTCTAGGTTGGTTTTTTGGATACACTACTGTCAGGATCAAAGATTGAAAATACGTATATATAAAAACAAAGCCTAAGCAACCAAAAAACCTGATAGGTCTTTCCTTGAAGAAAATAATTTCATTCACTAGTTCTAAAAAATTATTAAAGTCACAGTATTTGAAAAATGTAAATTATTTGTCAGTAGTGCTTCTTATCGTGTGGTGATTATTCTGTCATTTGAAATTTGTAAACACTTCTTGGGCTTCTTCCTGAGGATTTTATCCAGGTCACACTCACTCTTTGCCTTCAGAAATGACTGTGTAGACCTTTAGGTCCCTGTGGTCTCAGATCACAGCCCAGTATCACACGGGTCTTCTCCAGATTTAAATTCTAAGAATTTTCTTTTTCAAGATCCACCTGTCAGACAAGTTTTGTTACTTACAAAAGGTAGCTCTGTAGAAGCTTGAAGTGTGTGTCGCTTTTAAAGTGAAGTTGCAGAAAACTTTTGGAATCTAAAAACATTAAAGCAGGACAAGAGACCGACAAAAGTCTTGCTCTGCACAGCAACCTGGTAGAAGGAGGGAGCTGCTGGAGGGAGCGTGTGGGTTTTGGGGCAGGGGAAGGGGGTTTGGATGGTAGATCTGTGGAGAGGAGGGGAGGAAATGAAAGACAGGGACTGTCCTCTCCAGAACCTCTTTTTTTTTTGGAGAGGAGGGAAGGGATGTGCAAGCCCAGACGTTTTTCAGCCTGTGAAATTTAACGTTTATTTTTACTCCTGCCTTTTGCCTAGACTTCAGCAATTCAATAATCTATATGTGTTCCCTGCTTTTCACAAGAAGCAGCTGCTCTGTGCTGCCCGAAGGATCTCTACTTTGCTTTTTATAGAAGTGTTAACAAAGCCATTTCCTTGTTCTGTCTTCTGCAGTTCTAAAAAAGAATAGCAATTTAAACATGCTATAGGAGGTTTTATGCAAGCCTAAAATATGCCTTATGGGAGAGTAGGGAAGGGATGTGCAAGCCCAGACGTTTTTCAGCCTGTGAAATTTAACGTTTATTTTTACTCCTGCCTTTTGCCTAGACTTCAGCAATTCAATAATCTATATGTGTTCCCTGCTTTTCACAAGAAGCAGCTGCTCTGTGCTGCCCGAAGGATCTCTACTTTGCTTTTTATAGAAGTGTTAACAAAGCCATTTCCTTGTTCTGTCTTCTGCAGTTCTAAAAAAGAATAGCAATTTAAACATGCTATAGGAGGTTTTATGCAAGCCTAAAATATGCCTTATGGACAAGAGTATTGTGCTGTTGTTTCTTCAGATGGCTTTACTGTGATGAAAGTTTGAAGCTGCAGGCGTATATAGGCATAGGATGAGTGTTATCTATCATATAGGCTATAAAAGACTTAAAACTGAGACACAGACTTCCTAATCTGTAACTTAGGCTTTAAAGGAAACATGGAGTTTTTGGGAGTGGGCTTTTCTCTTAGTCTTTTACCCCCCAAAGGCGTCCAGAGATGTTAGTGCTACCTGAATTTTAATGAAATGAAATTTTAGGTTAGCAACAGGATAAAAGGGGGATGTTAGTTTCTATTTTCTCTTGTTAACAAAAAGATATTTTTTTTTAGTAGAAATGAGAACTCACATTGTGTGAGGTAATTTCTTTTTATTCTCAATAGAGAATCCTTTGAATAAAAAACTCTTAAGTTTTCAGACCACCTATTTAATGTGTCCTCATATTTGCCTCAAACTGAAATGTTAGCTATTATGGTGTAATACTTTTATTTTATTTCTGTGTTATGAACATTACTTGGGAAATAGGGTTAATGAAGACAGAAGAGATTTTTGAATGTCAGAATTTCATGT